TTTATTCCCTTTCATTTCTGTTTCAGGAGCAATCAATTCTTTTCTGTATTATTTTCCTTAGAGCAAAACCTTGACAAATTCAGACAAAAGCAACCAACACATTTTGAATACGTATTTTTCAAACCTTCCCTTTGGAGCTACAATTTCAGCAGAGAGGACCTGACAGCTTTGTCACTTTGTAACATGACTCCATCTTTTCAAAGATCTGAGAAATGAGCTTCCTCACTGCCTCTGCCAAATGTCTAGCTAATTCTACACATTTCAGGTTTTAATGGCAGGACATTATTGTGGTTGTAATTCCTTTATTAAACAGGGTTAAGCGAGGCTCCAGTCATCAGTAGGTTAACACAGCAAATGCTCATTTCTCTCTCATCTCTCAGCTCAGCTAGGCCAATTGACTCTCCTCTAAGCAGTGACCAATAACTTGGCAGTATGGACTAATTCCACCTTGAGATTGAGCTGCATGGAACACATGTTGCCTTCAAGGTCACCATGCGAGGAGGACCAAGATGGAGACCCCAGAACACTGAGCTCTCACAAGCCTTAAATGAAACTTCAGGTTCGTGGTAGCAAGGGTAAGGGAAACTGGCTACTCTGCCAAGTAAGATATTGCCAATATATAGGTAGACAAAATGTACAACAAACAATCTTTAAATTAGCTTTTTACAGTGCAAAACAGCCACAGAACCCAGGCACTGTGGCTATCATGCCACTAGTCTGCTGGGGAGTGTTTTTTTCCCCTCTTTCTCCAAAGACCAAAAACAAACAAACAAACAAAAATTTAATGCAGAGGACTGAAGAATGAGTTCTGAAAGTGCCTGGGTTGTCCTGGACTCACCAAGAATTGTGGACAGAGAACCCCTGACAGCCTTTTGGGATCCAAGATCGCCGACATCTGATAACACTGAGAGACATTGCAACCTATTCAGGTGATCTTGCTACATCTTCCATCCTGGAGGAGTCCATATAGTCCAGCTCAGCCTCTGGGCATTGACTGTACCCCTCCTGGACAAAGCTGTTGGCCTAATAAACGGAGTGAAATCTCCTACCTTGCCCAGTGAGGGAGGGGGAACTATACAAAGTGCTGGGGCTGATGGAGCCTATGTGGGATAGGGGTGGCTCAGCCTGCAGAGCCTAGAGATATTAACAAGGCATTTGAACCCCTTGGAGAAACCAGTAGCAAACTGAAATGAACTGTCTTCCCAGAAAAGAGCTTTCAGACCAAACAACTCAAACTTCAGTTCCCAGGATTGCTGGGTGGATAGGAGGGGCTGGCCACTGCTTACACATCAGCTCCTTGTGGGACCACTTTCCCAAGCAAGCTGAACCTGACTTCCTGCTCCCCAAGAGGACCTGTGCTTAAACATCTTGCATGTAACCTCCCCAAATCTGTGATTGCCTCACAGCCCAGCATACCTGTATTAAGGAGGGGCAGATACACAGAGAAAGTTTCTGTCTAAAGGGACAGCACCAGGAACAAGAATAACAGTTTAAAATATGAAGATTAGAAATCAGAGGGGAGCAACAAGTGTGTTCATTGAACTCAGAGGAAACCCACTCTTCTCCACAAGAAGGAAGGAAATTTGGACAATATATTTACTTATCTCTTTTTTCCATTCTGTTGAAATTTTAATTTGCCTAGCCCTCTTTTATTTAATTTTCTGTCCCCCACTTTTTTCTTCTTCCTTCCTTCCCTCTTCTTATCTTTCTCTCCTGTCACCCCCCCCCACTATCCTTATCTCCACCACACAAAATACTCATCAAGTAGTCTATTATACTAACTTTATAGATTGCTTCCGTCCTTTCTATCCCTATGCAATCCCTGACAATAGCACCCTCCTTCACCACAACTGAACTTTTACACAAATGAGGGCCTCATCACCCTGTCATCCCCACACCTCATACCGCTTTTCTCCCTTTCCCCATACCCCTCCTCTTCCTCGTTCCTGCTCCTCTTCATCTCCTCTTCTACCCCCATCAGTTTTATTACCTAAGTTTTAATCTCTATGCAAACAAGTTTTATTTCCCCAATATCCCCCAGTTTATAAATAATAACACCAAGAGCTTTATATGCTAAGTAAATAACTGGTTTGGCATTGAATCTATGGATTTGTTATTGCTAAATTATACCTCCAGATCAGTGAACAGAAATGATACAACAACCTAGCTAACAACCAAGCTAGCCAGAGCATAGAAATTAAGTCGCGGGAAAGAAAACAGGTGATTAAAACCTCCAAGTAACTAGTCAACAACACATGAGAAAATCTAACGATAGAAGAATGAGCAATAGAAGAAGGCAGGGGAATATGATTCCTGAAAAGGTTAACAGTCACACAATAGAGGACTTGGCGGACAGTGAAGGGAATGAGTCCTCAGTTTCTGAGGTCCAAAGAATGATGATAAGAATGTTTAAGAAGCTTAAAGAGGATATAGAAAAAAAACTCAATGAATCCCAAGAGAATACAGACAAATAAAATCATCATGATGACACAGGAACAACTAAATAAACTCAAAGAGGATTTAAATGAACATCAGAATGAAAGCAAGAAAATTATATTAAAAAAGAGGTAAATCAAATATAGAAGGCAGTATAAGATTTGAAAAAGGAGCTTCACAAAATATGGAAAGTCTCAAAAGAAATCAAAAAGAAACACTAGAAAAAAAAATTTCTTAAGTCAAATAAAAAATACAGTTGAAAGCCACTCCAGCAGATTGCAACAAGTAGAAGACAGAATTTCAGGGCTGGAAAACAAAAATAGATATTAAAGGAAAAAATCAGAAGAATACATACAGAAAAGACTGAGAGTTATGAAAGGAATATGTAAGAACTCTGTGACTCCACCAAAAGACCAAACCTACAAGTCATGGGCATCAAAAAAGGAGAAGAGATGCAAGCCAAAGGTACAGAAAACATAATCATAAAATAATAACAAAAAAGTTCCCAAATCTTGAGAAAAAGACACTTATCAGGTACAGGAAGCCTCTAGAACACCAAACAGAATGACCAGAATAGAGTCTTTCCATTGCATATTACAATTAAAACAATTAGTACAGAGGACAAGGAAAGACTATTGTAGGCTGTAAGAAAGAAAAATCAAATAAAATATAAAGGTAAACCATCAAAATAACAGGAAGCAACTGAACTATACCTGTTTGCAGATGACGTGATCTTATACCTAAGAGGCATGGAAAACTCCACCAAAAAACTCCTAGACACCATAAACACCTTCAACAAAGTAGCATGAAACAAACTCAATTTACAAAACCCAGTAGTCTTTCTATACACCAACAATGAACAGACTGAAGAAGAATATCAGAAAATAACTCCATGAACAATAGCCTCAAAGAATACCTAGGAATAAACTTAACAAAGGAAGTGAAAGACCTCTGTGACAAAAACTATATACAATTCCTATTTGAATTCCTTTTATTTCTTCTTCCTGTCTTACTGCTCTGGCTAGGAATTCCAAAGCTTGACAAAAATTGTTTGATCAGATTCTTTTGGACCTGAGCACACAGAGCCCCTCTCCCCTTACCTGTCCTATTGCCTGACACTCTGCCTAATATTTTCCTATTTGCTGTTTCTCATTAAGATATAGCATCTGTTTATTTCCTCTCCTATTCCACTCTCATAGACTGTAAATTGTGAATGCACTATCACCAATCAGTGGAAGCAAGAGAAACTGATTAAATCTCTGCACAAGACTAGTCTGCCTCCTAGTGTTCTCTTCTCATAAGAGAGATATAGAAATTATATCTGTGTAATTTGAGATTCTATTGCCTATTGGTATTTAAAGATAAGTACAGGGACTGGAAGAGAGGCAGAATGTGCTGTTGGATCTAGACTATCACAATGCAGTAAGTGGTCACCAATAAATTGCTGCTTGCCATCAACATGTCAGATTTGTCCTAACACCCTGGGTTTCTACACGAGGCTTAGCTGGAAATCCCATGTCCAAGAAGCTCAGCTTGAAGGCATTAAGAGTTTGTCAAAATCCTATATTGGGTGTAAAATCCTCACCTTCCTTGCTCTTCCTAACTGGTAGAGAAAAAAAACTTTTTTAAAGCACATGGTTCCAAGACATGGAAGGGAATTTGTGAGGTCCCTCACCTGCTTTCTCAACACGGTGTTGTTTGTTATGTTCTGGATTGGAGGGTTGAGTAGGAGAACCAGCCAACCAAGAGGCTGACACAATAGATGAAGGGAGATAGTCTGCGATGGTGAGAAAAGAAACAACTTCAGGAAGGAAGAAAGGCATCTGAAGAAATACCTAAAGGTGATGTCAGGTATCAGATCTGGAGGTATGGTACTGACTTAGTCTAGCCCCACCTGCCTGTCTCTCCTGGACATGCCAAAGAACCAGGCCTGGGAAGAACTTCCCATGTGCACCATATATTTATTCTTTCATAACACCAGCCCCTCCCTCTGCACCCATGTCTTCCTCCTTGCACCCTATAACCCCTTCAGATTTATTTAATTCCTAAAAATCATTCAAGACAGGTTTTATACAAAAAATATTTTATGTGCAAAGTCAAGAGTCATAGATATAAAAGTTCCATTGTATAATAACATATGGTTTCATTTTTAAAAAACAGAATCTTTGCATTGATTACTTTTTTGGCAGTACTGGGGTTTGAACTCAGGGCCTTGCACTTGGTAGGTGGATGCTCTACCACTTGAGCCACACCCACAACTTTGCATGGATTCTTGCCAGATCCTTCACAATACTGCAGCAAGGTAGATAATGAATAGCATCCCATACATATTATGGGATTAAATTGACATCACTTGTCCAGGACTTTACATTCAAAACACATCAATATTCATGACAAATTAAATTAAAATATTAATAACTTAAAAATCACTTAAAAACTATGATTCACATTATTACATAAAGCTCATGTTTCTTAGAATTATAATAAACTAATCAAATCCCATAACAGTTCTCATAAATGATATGGGATACAGATTGTTTCTCAACTCTTTGCTTGGTTTCAGTTCAGGCACAAGTGTTCAAGGCTTTACAGTTTGGGCTTTTCTTGTCCAGGTACTTCATGGAGTCCTGGACCCACTTCTGCTCAGGATCAGCACAGATTTCCTTGCCCAATTTGGTCTTGAAGCTGTAAGGGAGAGAGGACTCAGTTAGATGGAGCACCTTGAGGATTCAACCTGGGCATGTAACCTAATCTATGGGTATCTACCCATTAGTCTGAGACAATGGGGATGCATGCCTCCAGGACAGAGGAAGAAGAAGGTAAGACAAAGGGAAGGTCTCACAGGAAGCAGCTGCTCTGCCTGCGTGAAGCCCCTTGGATTCTGGATGGAGGGACGAAGTTCTGAACTGGTAGCTGGAAAGGGAGTTGGGAATGGGAAGTCCATTTCTTGTAGGGTTCAGGTTTTCCATTGGAAAATTCCTGAGCTTGGGGTAGATATGTTCTAAGCATCTGAGTGTTGGATTCCAGTGCAGCCTATTAATAAATAGCCCTATTCACTTCACTGCCCCAGGGAAGAATGTCCCACTGACAGTTAAGGTGTGTGATCATGGTCCACTTACATCACAGCCTTCCAGGGACAGTGACTGCTGGTAATCCGTGTGTAACTCTCCAGTTTTTGCACAGAGATCTTCTTTCTATTGGCCTCATAGCAGCAGGTGGGGATATTACTCCCATCTGAAATGCAACAACAAGAAAAGCTTCTTATGGTTGGTTTTGGGTCTTTCTATTTGTGATGTAGGGAATGTATGTAGGATGATACAGGAAAGGATGGAGGAAGAAACTGCCCACTCCAAGTTCAATGTCTCTGCCCTTCCTGGTGTCTCTCATACTCTCCAACATTCATGGAATATAAAATGGGCATGCACCACCACCAATCGATAGGGGCAAGAGGAACTGATGACAACTCTGGGTGTCACTAGGAAGAGTTAATATAAGAATCCAATTCCTAGGGTAAGGTGATCCTAGTTACAGGTACTCTTTTTAAGGCTCCAAGAAATTCATCCAGGATGAGTATCCCTAATACTCACTGCCTGTACTGTCCCTGGAACCAGGGCTAAAGGAAGCAAAGACCAGATTCTGGGTCTCCTCCCCTCCTCTCCTGTATCTGGAAATATCCTGGACGTCAACCATCCCAGGCACCTTTCTTTGATCACCCAGGTCCCCAGGCTCTGCTGATAGCTGCAGTGGCAGTAACTGTAGGAGGGCATTTCCAGAACTGGGTTCTGAAAGGAGTGGGATTCAGGGGTCTATAGCTTAATTTCTAATTCAAGCTCTGCCCAGGAGCAGCTGTATAAATGGGCTCACTCCTTGTCATTCTCTGAGCTGCCCTATCTTGGAAAAGTAGTGGTCAAGGTGAGACTGTGGGTGCCCCTTGTGCTATGATGGTTCAGGATAATCCAGAGATGAGCTTCTGGGGGAAGGAGGCAGGGACCTTACCTGGCTGAGCCAGCACATGGGTGCTGATAGTGGCTGCTGTGAGCATCAGGCACAGAAGTATGGTGGAGAGCTTCATGGTGGAGGATGAGGGAACAAGCTTCTGCATGAGGTTGGAGGTTTCTGGGTTGTTCTCAGCCTGTCTGCTCTCTGGTGGTTCTGTCTCTGTTTTTATAGGAAGCAGAGGGGTAAAGAGAAGGGTGTATGTGGAGTGAGGCTTTGTCATCCGGAATAAATCACAGGATGGTGCAATAAATTTGCTGGCCCAACACTCTGCCCTAGGGACCGTGTTAGGAGATGAGATGGGAAAGGGTGTGTGTGTGTGTGTGTGTGTGTGTGTGTGTGTGTGTGTGTGTGTTGAGGCTGGCCTGTTTCCACCTAAGATCAGTAATGCTAGGTGAGGTAGAGGCTATGCTCAGGCAGAATACAGTATGTGACTTTTGGAAGTTATCATGAGCTCAGCTTCTTTGAAGTGAAACTCATTCCACAGAAAGAGGAAGGAAGCATGGATGCCCAAGTCAAGGAAATGCAAGGGATTCTCCTATTTCCCCCTTCTGGAAGCATTCCCTCAGACCCAGAGTCCAGAAAGAAGTGCTAGAACTTTGGCTGGACTCCAAAATGGGCTTTTCACAGTCTTAAATCCTAGTAGCTTTCTAATGGAAAAGTATTATCATAGAACATTAGAAGAAAAATAGAATGCAGTGGTTTTTTGAAAAATAGTACCTAAAATTGTAGTGTCTATTCTAGCAATCTATTACTATGAAAACACACATCTGAAAACAGTGACTTATAACAATCAATGATTTTGCTTCTGAATACAAAGGTTGACTGCCCTCAGCTAAGTGGTGCTTGCTTAGGGTCTTTTATATCTTTTCGGGTAGATGATGGCTAAAGTTGGGGTCATCACAAGGCCTTTACTCAATATCTGGTATCTGGGCTGGAAGGACTTAAACAACTGGGCATTAAACTAGATGCAACTTTTTGGACATATCTCTCTGTAGCTCTCTCTCTCTTTCTCACACATATGCACATGCATACACACACATATACTCTCCTTCTTCCAGGTGACTCCTCCACATGGAGGAACATGTAAAACATGATTTCTTAAAGCTCCCAGGGGCAATTATAGGAACATAGACCATGCCTCTTAATGAGAGAGTGTAGAAGACCTTCCATGCATGTTTTAAAACACTATCTGGGGCTGTAGGTGGAGCTTAACACTACAGAGTATGTTTATCATGGGCAAGGCCCTGGATTCAATCCCAGAAGCAAAATAAATAAATGTAAAACAAAACCACTACCTACCTTTCATAGGTCATTAGAATTACACGGTACATAAAGATCTTGGAATTCTGTGGTTTTCGAAATATCTCATTAGCTATGAAAATACTTTTCAAGTAAAAGAATATGAGGAAGTCAGTCTGAATGGGTGATGGAGGAATGTGATTCCAGCATTCCAAAGGCTGAAGCAGGAGGATGGTGAGTTTGAGGCCAACCTGCAAATTCAAGGACAGCCTGAGCTGCATAGAAAGACACTGACTCACAAAACAAAACAAAAAATACAAAACAAGTAAGTAAAAACAAGGGGTTACAGATGTACCTCAGTGATAGACCACTTGCCTAGTATGTGTGAAGTGCTTGGTTCAATCTGAGAGAGAGAGAGAGAGAGAGAGAGAGAGAGAGAGAGAGAGAGAGAGAGAGAGAGAGAGAGAGAGAGAAGGAAGGAAAGAAAAGAAAAGAAAAAATTATCTACATCAAAATTAACAAGTTTCAATCAATCAACAGAGTGGGAAGTAACCTATGGAGTGGAAGGGTATATTTGCAGATCATATAACTGATAAGGTGTTAACATCCAGGATATAAGAACTCCCACAACTCAACAACAAAAACTAGATAAATGGATTTTAAAATGGGCAACAAATTTCAGTAGACATTTCTCTCCAAGATGATGTAAACAGGCAACAAGCACATAAAAAGATGCCCCAAATCACTAATCATTAGAAACATATGAGAGGCCCTGGAAAGGAAGGATGGAAGGAAGGAAGGAAAAGAAGGAGGGGAGAGAGGGAAGGGAGAGAGGGAGGGAGGAAAATGCAAATCAAAACAATCATGAAGTATCACCTTACCCCACTAAGATACTTATATCAAAAAGACAAAGTAAGAAATATAGGCGAAGATGTGAGAAACTGGAACTCTTGTGCATTGTTTGTGGGTCTGTGAAATCATGCTGTCATTATGGAAACTAGTATGGCAGTTCCTCAAAAAGTTAAAAATAGGATTACCATATGATCCAACAATTATCATTTATATTGGGTACATACAGCCAATAGAATTGGAAGCAGGATCTAGAGGAGATACTTGTGCATAACACCATTATGCACAACAGCCACATTTGGAAGCAACCCAAATGCCCATCACCAGGTAAATGATCAAACAAAATGTGGCATGAGTTGGTATCAAACTCTACCAGGGAGTTAATTACATTGGCTTGCATGATTGGATACTGGAAAATCCTACAATAGTTGTCTGAGTGTTGGAGAGCCAGAGAACCCAGTAGCCGCTCAATCCAAGAACCTAAAAGCCCCAGAAAAGAGGGACCGGTGATTCAGTCCCGGTCTGAGGCTAAGGACCTGAAGGTCCCTGGAGAGTCACTGCTGTGAGTCCACATTGAAAAGCTGAAGAAGTTGGCATCTGATGTCCACGGGCAATGGTGGCAGCAGGAGATGCACTTGCTCTGGAAGAATGGAGCTTGCGTGGGCGGGCTTCCTCCTCCTTCCACCCTTGTTCCAGCTGGATCCTCAGCCTATTGGATGATGCTGCCACATTTAGGGTGGGTCTTTCCCCCAACAGTTGCTGTCCCAAGTGCCAATCATCTCTGGAAATGCCCTCACACATTCATCCAAATGTGTGCTTTACTAACCTCCCAGGTACTTACCAATTCCATTAAGTTGACAAGATTAACCATCACACAGGCTACTTAGAAACCATTTGATATATGAAATAAGTCCAATCACCTACGCAGCTACAGATAGAAGATTACTTGCACAAGGTTATCAGATAATCTCATCAGCAAACCAGATCCAGATCTCAAATGCCAGGTCACAGTACCCATACTTTGTGAATTTTTGCTTTGTCATTAGGTGTGGGATTCTGAAGAATACCCCTCTCCCCCAAATGCAAGCCCTGGAACATATGCATATGTTATCTGACATGGCAAAAGTAGTTTTGTAGTTGTGATTAATTTAAAGATCGTGAGATGGGAAATGAGTTCAATACAATCACAAAGGTTCTTTAAAATGAAGACAGAAAGGTCAGAGTCAGACACAAAATATGACCACAGAAGCAAAGGGGGGGAGAGAGACCACGGATTAAGGAATGCAAATAGCTTCTGTAAGTTGAGAAAGGCAAGAAAATGATTCTTCCCTAAATCCTCCAGAGAAATGCAGCTGTATTGACCTACTACAGGCTTCTGATCTCCAGAAGTGTGAGTTAATATATTTGGTTGTTTTAATCCATTAATTTGATGGTAATTTGTTATAGTAGTGGTAAGAAACTAATACAGATTTTGGTACCTGGAGGTGAGGTCCTACTGCAACAAACATTTAAAAATGTGGAAATAACTTTGGAATTGGGCAATGGACAGAGGTTGGAAGAATTTTGAGAATGATAGGAAAAGCCTAGACTTTCTGGAACAGATTGTTGGCAGCAATGGGAAACGAATGCACGGTTCCTGGCATTCCCTCCTAAATGGCCTAATCATTGCCAATGCTTGGTGCTCAGTTTCATCAGGCAAAGAGAAGAAATCACATCCTTGGCTGTAAAAAAAAATGAATTCAAGATTTCCTGAAAATGAGTAGATTTTGCTTGAAAAAGCAATGTGAGCAGATTACTTAAGAGCTTGAACACATAGGTTCCCACTTCTGGGATCTCACTCGGTCCTTTCTTCTCTCAGACCCTCTGCTGCAAATCTGCCTGCCATCAGAGGTCCTGCAGCTCTCTGTAAGCTATATGGTGAGGTCTCACTTGTTTGAACTCCGTTTGCATCTTAGCATTGGCTGCAATTTGAGATTTCATTTCTGATTGGCAATCAAAACTGGGTGAGTGGAGAGAGGCAGGGTGGGGGTTGTTGGACCTGGAATGAAGGTCAGTGACTTCTGTAAGCAGTTGCAAATAAGGTGTCTGCTGTCTGATGTATCAGAACCCTTGGGGCTTTGAAGGAATTCCTCACTCTGAATCAGGGACTCTGGTTTGGCTCAGGAATGTAAAAGCAGAATACTTTCTGGCCCCAGCTGGCAGAAATGGAAGTTTTCCAAGAGACATACTCCAAGATCTAGAAGGAAACCTAGGTGCTCTGGGTTCCTATTTGTGTAGCACATTATCTTCCCCATTTTATTGACAGAGACTCAGAATACCTGACTTATCCTAAGTGACAGTGAGTCAGTACCAGTTCTGGAAGTAAAATTCAATGTCTTTCTTACCAGCCAGGGTTCTCCCCAGCACCTCATGTTGCCAAAGGCACTGCCTGGTTTAGCTGACAATGGTCATCTCCCCATCAGGTTGAGAAGGTGAGTATCATGAGAGTTTATTTGCTAGAGTAAGATGCTTGCTCTCCTTAGTGGACTGTGTGCCCAGGTGGATCAATTGCCCCAAAAGTGTGTCAAACATCATGCAAGGGAATACAGATCTCAGATGGATATTTAGGAAGAGACGATCCATGCACTTAAATGGATGACACCAGGCTCCTGGGACTGAGATGGGGGACAATGGTGGAGAGAAGTGCATTCAAGTTTAAGGGAAACTGCCCCCTTACTATGTGGGGTGAAGAGGAGGCTTCCATGTCTTATGTTACAGGTCTTTCTCCTCCATCTACAACATACAACATTCAACATTTCACTCTCCTTAGTGCATTCTTCCCCAAGGCTGCTTTTTAGGCTCCATATTCAACCCTCATCTCTCTCTGGACTGGAGTCTTTTATGCAACCCTACTTCATGTCTGCACGAAGTCGGTAAGTTTCATTTTCCGAATCTCACCTCTGAACCTTGAAACATGGGACATTCCTCCTCATTGGACTAAAGATTTTCAACATTCCCTTTTAAACTATAAAGTTAGGTACTATACTAACTACCCACCTTAACATTCAAAACCCTTTATTTAACCTTCTTTTCTAAAATCTCCATCACTCGACATAAACTAGGTGCTGCTGCCATGTGGTTGGTTTCCTCCCTCTTTGATATACACACCATAATCATTTCTGCCTCCAGTGTTTGCTGCTACTCACCTTTCTCTTCTTGCTGATGCTATAATTTTTCTAGAAAAATGTAGTCATTGATCAAGGAAAAGTTGAAGTGTTTCCTTCTCTATGAAACAATAATCTGAGCATCTTATTGATGGTGATAAGTCTTCTCTTGATTTTTAGCACCTGGAATGTCTAGATGACTCCAGTTTAGAGACAAAATTGGAGGGCACAGATTAGAGTTAGGAATCCTAGTTAAGGAGCAGTTGGAATATATTGCAGTTGCAACTATCTATAGGTTGCAAGAGGAGGAATAGGGCTGGGACTTTTGCTAAGCAAAAGTCGCTTGGATCAAAGCAGCTGATATTGGGGACTGGAACAGTATTACTAGAATGCCTGGTTGGGCCCTATCTTAAAGATTTTCTATAGACACTGAGATGGAACCACCCAGTGGAAAAGATCAGGCAAATCTGCATTCCCAATCTTCCAAAACATGAGTCCCATGCTCTGGAATCATGCTCTTTCCTCCACCAGGCTCATACTCTCAGCTTTGTGATTTCCCTCAAGAAAACACCAAAGACAAGGCTTTGTACAAAAATATATATTTTGTTCAATAGTTATACAATATTCATTTCCATAGAACATTCCAATAATGCCTTGGAATTTAAAACACAAAATTCTTGCATTCATGATCTATGCAAAGACCCTTACAATGTCACAAGTATAGAATCGGAGTTCACAGAGGGAAAGCAATTAGTCCAAGTTTGTGTATCTAAAAAAATACTAGTATTCATGGAAAATAAAATTAAAATATAAATAACTTAAATAAGATTAACATTACTTAAGGCATCATGTTTCATGTCATTCTAGTTTACTGTTACACTAGTTACTGTCATGGTAGTGTTAGAGATTTTTGAGGGAAAGCTAGTGGTAGATAAATTAACTATAGGTTCTTGGGTTGTGGAGTTATTGTACAAAGGTGTTGGAGTTTCTGGTTGAGTTGATTTCTGGTCCAGTTGTATTTTGTGGTCCAATTGTGTTTTCTGGTTGAGTTGGGTTTTCTGGTTGAATTGCATTTTCTGGTCTAGTTTGGCAATGTAGTCCTGGACCCACTTCTCTGTGGGTTCAGTACAAATTTCCTTCTTCTGTATGGTTGTGAAGCTGAGGGGAGAGAAAACACAGTTAGATGAGTGCCTCTGCAGATTCAGTCCAGTAGTGCAATCTATTCTTTCTTTTCTTTTCTTTGTTTTGGTGGCACTGGGGTTTGAACTCAGGGCCTCAAGCTTGCTAGGCAAGTGCTCTTACTACTTGAACCACTCTGCCAGCCCAAGTGCAGCCCATTCTGTACCAAGGGGCTGCTATGGGATCTAGAGGAGGAAGGCAGATGGAAGGAAGGAACCAGAGCAGGCTGCTCCTGCAGGTTTCCCAAGGGAAGTCATCTTGACTTCAGGCTAATGAAATTTTGGATAGTCTGAATAAGCTCCCACATGGAGAGTGATGCTGGGAGACACCTTTTTCCTTCTTGGCCTCAGTTTTCTCAGAAGGAGCTATCAGTTATTGGATTAGAAGGTGTTAACTCTGTGACTCTAAATTCTTGAGGATTATCCCTTGCTCCCTGAGTAAGAGTTTTGGTAGGAAGGGCTTGTGTGTTCAACTCACATCACAGCTTCTCTGGGGCACTTGCTGCTGGTGATTTTTCTATAGCTCACCAGCTTCTTCATTGGGATCTTCTTATTGGTGAATGAATAGCAGCAGGTGCTTTGGGAATTAACTGCATCTGAAAAATAAACCACAAAGAAAAGGCATTTTAAAATGGGATACTTGCTTCTGATCTTAGAACTAAAAGGAGTCATGAGGAGAAGGCAAAGAGACAGAAGGAGTGGAGATAGAACCCATTAAATCCCAATACTTCTGCTGTATGTTAGAGCTGGAATATAGTCTTTGACAGATTGCATCAAATGGGTATGTAATATTGGTAATGGAGGAAGAACTATTTAAACTAAGTAACTTTAAAAAGTGTCATTAGGAGGGGATAATAATTCAAATTATCAGGGCCAAAGATGATCACTTGAGGACCCTGCCTACAGCCTCATTTCAGACTCCAAGAATCTTTGTGTAGTCATGAGCACCTCTGATACCCACTGCCTGTGCTGTCCCTGGAAGCTGGGCTAAAGAAAGCACAGACCAGATTCTGGGTCTCCTCCCCCTCTCCCCTGTATCTAGAAATATACTGCATACCCTCCATCCCAGGCCCCTCGTCCAGGTCCCTAGGCCTGGGATGCTGATAGCAGCAGGGGCAGTAACTGTAGGAGGCTATTTCTAGAACTGGGTTCTAGAAGGAATGCGATTTGGGGTCCACAGCTGGAATTTTAGTTCAAGCTCTGCCCAGGAGCAGCTGTGCAAATGAGGTCACTCTTTGTCCTCTGAGCTGCCTTATCTTAGAAAAGCAGTGGTCAAGGTGAGACTGTGGGTGCCCCTTGTGCTGTGATGGTTCAGGATAATCCAGAGATGGGGTGATGCACTCCTGGGGAAAGGAGGCAGGGGTCTTACCTGGCTGAGCCAGCACGTGGGTGCTGATGGCTACTGCTGTGAGCACTAGACATAGAAGCAGCGTGTAGACCTTCATAGTGTAGAATGACAGTGAGCTTCAGTGCGAGAGTTGGAGGCTTCTGGACTGGTCTCAGCCTCTCTGCTCTTCTGGTGGCTCTGTCTCTGCTTTTTATTGAAAGCCAAGAGGGTGGAGCCAGGCAGTATCCTCTCAATGAATGATGAAGTGAAGTGGAATGTTGAATTTGCTGAGCAAGTGCAGCACCCTGGGAGGTTTCCAGGAAGTAGAAGAGGGAAGCTGTGGGTCAGAACTTGGCACTTTTTCCATCCACTTCTAAGATTAAATGAAGCAGGGCAGGGAGGGGAAGGGGAAAAGACTGACCACAGTTGTGAATGAAGTGGATCCACTTTCTCTAAAGCCAAAGGAAGAAAGCAAAGGACCTGAGATCCCAAGAGAGATGAAAGCAAGTCTTAGCTTCCCCCGGCCCACCTTCAGGCCACAGTCCAAGGGGCCTTCAAGCTGAGAAAGGGCCCTGAAGCCTTGGTGGGCTTCCCTATCATGTATTAAATCTATTGCTCTTTAAAATGTAGAGTGGCAGCACAATGAATGCCTTACAGAACTGTAGGGTTTTGTAAAATTGAATCAATTTCTATGACTTGTGACATTACAGACTTGGAAGAAACAATAAATCAAATCAAGCTGCAAAAGAAATTTCATGTAGTACTCACAGTGTGCTTACTCTGTGCCAGGAATATTCTAAGCCCTCTACAAATGTTAAGTCTTTAAATTCTGCACTAATGGTAAATAGATATGGTTAATCCCCATTTTTCAGACCAGGCAACTGAGGCTCAGAAGGATTATATATGTAACCTGCTCAAGGCGCCCTGGAAAACACCACAGGTAGCCAAACCCCATAGTTTTGTGTTATCATTACTGTGATATACTTCTGGAAGGAAACATACACAAGTCTCCAATTGGCTGCCTGGCCATGTATCTGGCTCTTCTGTGCTCAATGTCTTCCAAACTAGTAGACAGTTAAAGGGGTGTTGGGAAACATTCCTTGTGGTTAAGCCAGTATGAGCCGGGAACCTGTGGTCAGCAGGCAGGCAAGAAGTGCATCCCCATGATGGTAGCTGTTCTCCCAGCTTTGTCTTGATTTCCAGGGAGCATGAATGAGCTGAGGAACCTTATTTTGGGAATTGGAATGCCTGAATTCTTTGTGCAGTTCCGCCTTAGATTTCCTCAGAAACCATGGGATTTTAGTAATAAAAACTAAAAGACCTTGGAATTCATTGCAATGAACTCTTGTCTTTTACAAATATGGTAGGAGCCTGTGAGACCTGTCAGTGGCAAAGTAGATCTCTTGACTCCCTTACTCTACTGCCCCATCCTTCTGAGACTTGCTGTGCATTGGTCTGATAGGCAGAGACAAACCTAACACACTTCTTTCATCAACAGTTCTTGAGACAATGTCTATAAAGACATGGAACTTCTTGGAAGAAAATAGTTGCCGATCACTACATTTGTTATAAGAAATGAGTTGTATCAAACAAATGATTATATTTGGTCCATGGTAAGTGGCTGGTAATGGCATTACTGAGTGCTTACCAGGACCCAGGTGTCATGCTGAGGTGTTTCCAAAACTGTTTCATTAGTCTTTAAACAACCCTGTCCTTAGGTTCAAGCTGAAGTTCACTGTCTAGTGACACAGGAAACAGCAGGCGGGGCTGAGACGCCCACCCAGGACACTCTGATTTCAGAATCCCTGCTCCAGAGTGTTAAGTTTGATGTCTCATGATGGCTATTAGTTTCCTAAAGAATATGAGTGCAGAGACTCTATAGGGAGAACATTCTAGATTCTTAGAATTACAACAAGACAGGAGGAAGGACAGCAAGTTGCCTTGTGTACTGCTTTGCTTGCATCTCTCTTGGAACCTTATTTTCATTCTGCCTGACTCTTGCTTGTTTCCCTTTTCTCCCCTACTAGTGTTGAAACCCCTCTGCCTTTGACTCAGTCCTTTAACCATGGCTCACTCCATTCTTATTAAATGAATAAAATATTTCTGGGACTGGACACTGTCGCTTTACAGTTATTTCTTTCCAGACCATCGCACGTTAACTTCCAAGAAGTTTTTCCTCATAGTGATAGAGTCCTGCCCCTCAGGCATGAGTGTGTCCTATGGACTCAGAGGATTCGTTCCATTTCCCCATGAAATCCAGTCATTCTTTGGACTTTCTCTAGGTTAACAAGTTAAAAGATACCAAGATCTCTAAACAACTTTCTCCTGACTCAGACCCATTACTATCTCTCCTAGAATACTGGACCCAAAGGACCTGGAGAGGCTGTGTAGTGCCCACTCCTCTTTCTGTACAAGGAAGCCATATTTTACAGCAGAAAACAGCTGGCCTATGGGGACAGAGAAAAGTTCCTGGCTTTGCTGTGCATTCAGACAAACTTCAGAGTACTGGCAGCTGTGTCCCTACTACAGGGAGAGCCATCATCTTCAAAAAGTGAACTGGCCACTTCAGACATGGAAGGGTAAAAGCCTATGGAGAGTGATGGTCTGTCTCTCTTCCATTTCTGCTGTCAACAAACATGCTGTTTTCCAGCTGTTAGGTCAATGAGAAGGTAGGAGAAAAACACGGAAATCCCCACTCTGAGGCAGCTTTGGAAGTTCCCAGACCCTGCTAGAGACTACGCATTTGGCTGGAGCCTGCATTCCAGATGCTGGGCCTGCAGCCAGGAGCTCTCACGTGGGTTAATGCTGGGAACTGCTTCACAAATGCCTGGGCTGGGCTTTTTCTTGGTGCATCCAAGGGAAAAGCCCAGGGAGAAGGTAGGGGGCTGGGCAGTGAGAATCCATGCATTAATATTCCTCAGAATCCCAGGCTTCCCTGGGCCCCCTCCCCATTAACACACAGATGAAGACTGGAAAGTTTCTCTTGGTGAATAATTCCTTCCTTCCTCTCTGGGACTTCCCCCACTCCAGGAACTTCCACATATATCCTGGTCATTGTGGCAGACTCCCACTTAGAGTCAGGAGTAGAGGAAAGGAGAAGTGAAAGTGAGATTTCTAGAAAGATCAGAAGCCAATGCTTGGGACCTTGGTAGGCCACTTCTGCAGTTCATTTGTTTGATACCCTCCTCATGTTGCTTAAGGTCCCCTCGTCTGTGCTTCTGATGCCCCCTAACCTCAGGCCAAAGAGGGAGATGAACAGTTGGCCCCTGCCAGGCCCTTTCTAGATGTCTCCCAGGGCCTCTTATCCAGCGCCTCCTTTCTGCCCTCCCCCAGGTGAGCTCTTGACTCCAGGTGAACCAGGCCTCTACTCTGGTATTCATGGGGCCTCTACTCTGCAACCCTTTTTCTTTTAATGACCAGGATTGTTCATGATTCTTTCACAGGATGTCATGCAGGAACTGATCCTTCACGATGATCTATTTATTTTCTCTGATGGAGGACTGAGGACAAGAACAAGGCGGTGACAGGCCCAAGGTGATATAGAAGACTAATGGCAGCATTTGCACTGGTTATCCATCTCTGGGCTCTCCAAGTAGTGCCCTTTTGCGTGTCTCCCACCATCTCCTGAACCTAACATCCATACAGGCAGCACCTACCCTGTGCAGAGCACCAGGGAGGGGACTGGGGAAAGGTAGAATGAACCCCATAGCAAACTTGCTCTCCAGAACAGATGTTAGAGTGGGCAGTAAGACTAAGCTTCAGAATAAACCTGAGCAGTGCTCACCCCAAACTTCGAGCATCCAGGCCTTTCCTGTGCTCTGGGGTGAGTCTGTCTCAGGTCCAAGGATATTCATTATGGTGGAAAAAGAAGAGGAAGGTTCACCTGCAGTGTCCTGGGTTGGCTGAGGGGAGGGTGTTGTATCTGCACCAAGCTAAGGGCTTATCACTTAGACTGTCTTCTGGGCCAGCACTAGTGGATCAGTGCCTGAGTTCTAATGTGGGAGATGCTCTAGTGAGGAGAGAAGAGAGATGATGTGGTGGGTGACAACAGGATAAATCACTCTGCAGAGCCCCTGGGCTGCACAGTAGAGGAAAACTGCTTTCTTTGTTTGGGGCTTGCATTGCACAGGATGGCCCGAGCAGTGTGATGGAGGTAGGGCAAGGTGAGCACTCTCAAGTATCCTTGTGAAGGTGGGAGGTCTTAGGAAAACAAACTGAAGAGTTGACAAAGACATTGTTCTGACAGTCTTTTGTTAAACTGTTAGCATCCTTTGACCTGAGGGAAACTCCAAGGACAGAGAATACTTGAACTAACCAGAGATACAGCTGTGAGAGTCCCAGATGAGGGCCCCAGGGAAGGCTCCTGGTGGTACATTTAAGTGAGGTTAAGGGTTGGGCAGATTTTGAACTTGGATGATTGGAGGTACATTTTGGAGCAAACTCACAGAGACTGCATGTGTGCTTACACATTCCCTGGACAGTTAACTTGTTAGAGCACAGACCCTGATTCAGTGGGTCTGGGAGAATGAGATGCTGAATTTGTCCAGCTTGGTACCTATGCTGCTGGTGCATGGCTCTATTAGAACCTCCCGAAAAGGGGCTGAGAATATGACAGACATGCTGGGCAGCTGTGGGAAGAAGTGGGCTGGTAGAGTCCATGCCTGGCTCTTGCATCAGCCTCAAGAACCATCTAGAGTTGTCATCCACACTTTATGTGATTGTGTCTTTTTCTAGAAAGAGAGTCCATAGCTTCTATTATTAACAAAGGCATCCACAATTTCCAAATAGTTAAATATTGTTGAACCCATCATTATAGAGAGTTCTAGATTTCACCCCAGGCTTGTTGAGTCACAAACTGTGTATTTTTTTCTAAGCTCCGACTCCTTCTCAACAAGTGTTTGGAAACCTCAAGGTTAAAGTCTAGGGTATATGAAGTAAAGGTTGTGCTGGCCTGGCTGGGTGGCATTAAGGAGAATGAGGTACTGGCAGAAAATAAGAAGAAATAGAAAAGAAAGAAAGAGTAAGAGAGGAGTGGGGAGAAAGAAAGGATAACCTGGAATAGAGGAAAGAGCCCCAGATGGTGTCAGAATGCCGGGGGCCTGCCTCTGTTTCTATCTAGCTGTGTGGCTTTGAGCAAGTCCATTTACCT